CTTACAATTATATATATATATATTACTTTGATGAGTTGTATACCCTTGTTTATTATTTTTATTTTTATTTTTATTGAAATGATCGAAATGAAAAGAAATATATGTGTATATATATATATGTATGCATATGAAATTCATTTCAAAGAAAAATTTAAAATATTATGAATAAAAAATGCGCTTGAAACCAGTCATTGAACATGATTAGTCAACGATAAGTTCTTCCAAATAGATGAATAATCATCAGAAATTATTTTAAATAATCTTTGAAATCTTATATAATGTTCATATACTAACATGAAACTAAAAAAAGATTGTTAGTCTCGCGAATCAAAACTTAACACAGAGAGAATTTAAGATCTCTGTATAGTTTAAGACAAGAAGTCAATGAATATCTCTATTATGAAAATTTTACGGAGAAAAATTCTATTAAGACGAAGTTATGAACAATTCAATGTTGGGTATGCATAAAGTGTTTTGCTTATGATTTAGAGATTATAGGTTACGATATCTGATAGCAAAATGTCGCAGAATTTCGTATCTGAGATCATGAGATTTTCGAGAAAACTCTTTGCCATTTGATAATAGACAGAGCAGTAGAAATTGTGACTGCATTCAAATTTTCAACATGATCAAATGGCAACTTTGAAAGATAGATAGACTCGACTTTTGTGCTTCTCACAGTTAGATATACGTTTCTTAAGGGAAAAAAACGTTGCTTTTTTCATATGTCATTGGTTTTTTACTCTAAAATCGAAACTCAAATAATGTATTTTATATCTCTTAATGAGCTCTACAAAAATGTACATTAATATCTGTCAAATATGATCATAATAAGGTTAGATTGTTCAACTTAGCGTGGTATGACTATGCTTTTCAAAGGTTCTTGAGAGTATGAATCAACTAGTGTTTGTTTAATCAGTTGGAAAAAGCTTATATGTTGAGTGTCAACGTCTTAAGACATAAGCGTTCTTCCGAGATGATGAAATCTGAAGGTCATACTTTTCATGGACGATATAAGATGTCATCGTTTAGATCCTAGGTCGATGAGTAAGTCTTTCAAATTCTAAATCGTCTTGTAGTGACCTTTTTCAAAATTCTAGCGCATTCTCTTTAGTTTCGATATTTTTATAAAAATCGCTCCAAATTTCAACGAGCTTCTCTAAAATAAATTTAAAATTTTGAAATCGTATAATTTTAAAGCATTCTTCTATAAAATATTCCAAAATCATGATAATGAAATAAGCAAAAGATAATACTGTAAAACTTACGACAGATTCACAAAATATGACAAAAACTAGTCTTGCTAGAAATTTTGTCAAGAGCCTTTCTTCTATATTTTTTAAGGCATACTTCGTCACAAACTGTTGAATTAGTACTGAGAAAATTAAGAAATACAAGTACTTGCCAGTTTGCCGAAGACTTAAATACTGATCATATTTTGTTTATAAATTTTCATAGACTCAATTAATATGTCTCATATTTTTACGAACAACTTTTCAGACTCGGAACCATTGAATAGTAGAGGGAAGTTGAAATATAAGAATTTCGAGTGGAGTGATGTATATACGTAGGATGACTTTTGTGACGAAATCTCTCTTGAATAATAAATCATTCAAATGAATGATGACATATCGATATGATAGTCAAAAAATTCGTTCAAACTTCGGAAATAAAGGTTTGAACGCTTGTTATAGTTAAAGAAGTATGCTTACATTAAGATTCTGATGTAAAATATTTGATCTATTGCTGAATACGTTGATTGTCTGTCTCGTTTAACGCATCCTTTCATATAAACGATTGGTGGTGTGTTCGTATGACTGAAGGGTCTCCATCTTCAGATGATAATTACTTATGCACAAATCAAGATATTGGCTTGTCATGAAGAAATCATCTTAACTACTGCAATCCAAACGTAAAATGTGTGCAGATCGCAAAACCTGCAGATGCAGTTTGGTCCGATAATGCGCTGCATTTTCCGTTGAAATAAAACATTGAACTCATGTAGTTATATTGCGGACGGTTGCCATCAATGTCAGATGTCCAATTGTTTGATGATGTATCACCAGCATATCTCTAAGATAACTATGTGTGTTGGGAAGAACACAGAAATTGAACATACTTCTTTTGAAAGTTTTCCTTTTCCATTATTGAAACATCTCTATAGTTCATATAATAAAATTCAACAAAAGATAAACTTAATTTTCGTCAATAAAATCGTTCAAATTTTCAAAGTCTCAACAAATTTTTAGAATTTTTGAAAATATCAAAAATAATTATTTTTTACGTTTACGTTGTGGTACTCGTGGTTCGGTTGAGTAACGGAAAAACTCGACAACTAAATGCGTATGAAAGGCTATTCTTCTCATATACCGATCAACGCTCAACCACCGTCATCCGATTACATCTACATTCAATTCTGTTTTGAATGATGAAAGGCTCAGTTCAATAACTCAAAGTAGTCAAAAGTTATTCAAAAAATTGTTGTTGACATTTTTAAAAAACTCAACAATACTATAGAATGCATTAAAACTAAAGAAAGAGTAAATGTGAATATACGACTATTATCTGTCATATGTAAATCGTGCAATAAGAATCAAAATAATCGGCAGTTAGAAGTGAAATGAACAAAGACAAAAACTTTTACATTTTTATAGAATTGTTCGTTTTATTCGATTTGAAAAACTAAGTAAGACCTTGAGCAGTATTTGTTCTATAAAATAACATAATTCTGGCGTCAGATAGCTATCTTTTTATTATCTTATAAGCTTCTTTTTTTTTCATTTTCACTATCGCATAGAATGAATGATTCTGTAGTATTGCTCGTATTTCAATCCGTTTTACATATAAAAATAAACTGACTGAAGTAGAAGATTATGTACTAAAAAAATAAATATTTTCTTTTCTCTCAAGTATTTCTATAGAAGAAAAATCTATAGATTTAATCATATTCAAAGTATTTAATGCATTAAATATTAACTCAAACGTTATGAAAACAACTCTTATTAATAATTCATCAGCAAACAGGATTTAAAAAACAACAAAGAAATTTAAAATTTTTTTTTATTTTATTTTTATTAATAGAACAATCTAAACAAAAAAATAAACAATCTAAAAGAATTTTCTTTTAGGAATAAGAGAAATAAATTTTCGTCAAATGCTTAGAAAAAAAAAAAAGATTATTTTTTATTTAAGCGATACAAGCTCCACGTAATCCAATGTATTGACAACATTGAATAAAGGACAATCCGAATGTATTATAACATTTACGATAGATAAAATATCCACCAGTAGAACCACAACAATCTCTTGTCCATGATGGAGAATTTCTACATATACAATTAGCTTCTCTAAATAAAACAAAATAAAAGAAATAAAATTTGTATTTGATTGAAATGAAAAACTCTAGACTTATTCACCCATAACTATGGATAACAATTATCATCATAAAAAAAACAAAACCCACACTGATCAAAGTCGACAATTGCATGTTTTGTATCTATGTCAGAATTAACTATTTTTATATTGATGTCAATCGACAATATTCGCTTATTTTGCCTTCTATTTATAGATAATTGCCTGGATAGTCAATTACTGATACAAGACTTTTGGTTTGTCAATTATATCTAATTCTATTCTGTCATTCATTTTAAGTTTCAACGCAATAAGGTCTGTTGACAAAATAATAAGTTTGATTTTTTGTGTATAATAGATTTGTTCTTATCTTTAATATATATCAAAATATATTTCATCATATCTTTCCATACTAAATAAATATTATCTATTATGGAATAAGATTCATTGCTAAGTGATTGAAATTAAGAAAAAAAGCAAAAAAAAAAACAAGAAAGAAAATTATTATATCAAAGAAAATAATTGCTGAAGTTATAGTTTTGTCTACTAATCAATAAAATTAATATTGATCAATTTACTATAGAGGAAGAAAAAAAGTGAATAAATTTCGCTAAAACCATGAGCGACCTCATTGAATGTATTTATTTCTGAATGGTTAAATAAAATAAACCATTGAATAGGTTTCTACATATGTTAATCAGTCATTCAAGATATACAGCATAAACAGTAACAACAGCAATCATATCTTTAGTCTCATAATTAACTGATATCATATTATCCGTTTTTGAATCCCATAAACATCGTGATGCAATACGTATAAGTTCACCAAATTTTTGTCCTATAACTGTTTGTACAATAATTTTATAACGTGGTAATTGAAAATTTCTCATTAATTGATGAACATTTCTTGTTATATCTTTAACTAGTTCATTTGCAGTTGCTTCATCATATGTTTTATCCTTTAGTAGATCTATTAATACTTCGAGTACTTTAGGTTGAACACGATAAGGACGAAAACGATATTCATTATCTGGTTCCATACGATATGTATTTGGTCGAGGATGATTAGGTAAAGCCATCATTGAAGATTTTCTACTACCCATTGACATTGATAAACGTCGAAAAACTGATTGACGACGTTCAGGAATAGTTGTTGTTGCAGTAGCTGTTGCTACAGATGCTGATGGACCAGTAACGGATGTATGAATTTCATCTCGTGCGGAATGTATTGGTGCAGTTGTTTTCATAGTAACTGTACCGTGAGGTTCAGTCGGAACGTTCGTACGACGATCAGCCATTGACACGATATCTTAGTGATTTAAGCGATTCAGTTGTGGCGTTGGCCTGAGTGATGGAGATGTTGTTTGATGGAATCAAATTTCTTTTTTTCTTCTTTCCTTTTTTTTTCTGCTATCGTTCGTTGTTACTTTAAATTTTGATTTATTTCTCATCACACATAGTGTTCTCAACTTTTTTTTTCTCCTCCTTTTTCCTCATATTATTGTACACAGTGTATAGAGCTGAGTATTGACATATGATGGAAGCACCTAGCGACGAGAAGCACTATGGGTGTTTGTCTATGAGAGGTGAAAGAATACGATTGTTCTTGAATTTGATGCTAGTAGCTATTTTTTTTTCCTTTCCAGATAATGACTCTCATTCTACCGGTAAAACATATAAAACAAGAATCAAATTGGGATTGTGGTGTAACATGTTTACGAATGTTGATTAATTATTATCATCTTGATTTAACATCATTTGAACATTTATTATCATCTTATGAATGCAATCAAAGTACATGGTCTATTGATTTATTACATTTACTTCATCAATCCAGTATTCATGCTATTTTATATACAATAACAATAGGTTGTTCATCAGCATATGATAATACACCATATTATGAAACATTAATTTGTAAAGATCGAGAAAGAGTTGATAAATTATTTGTTAGTGAAGCATCAAATGTTAAAATAGGTTCAATAAATTGGTTGGATTTAAAAAACCATTTAATTGAACAACGAATACCTTTTCTAGTTTTAATTGATGCTAATAAACTTAAATGTGATACATGTAAAACAACAGTTTTTGAACGGTTAGCTAATAAATTTATTTCACCGATATCATCATATCAAGGCCACTATATACTTGTTATTGGTTATATAACAAATGAAAGTAATGATTTTATTCGTTATGTTGATCCAGCTAAAAATGATGGATTTTGTACAACAACAAAAGAAAATTTTGATCTAGCACGAAAAACATTTGGAACCGATGAAGATCTTATTCTTTGTTATAAAAAAAGATAAAATTTAACATGTGCAATAAAATATTTATTGGATATGTCAGATAAAAAAATTTTTGTTTTATTGTTTTTTTGCAACAGTTTAATTGTTTCTCTTGCATGAATATAAATTTTATTTAATAAAATTAAAATGAATTATATAGATTTATTTATAAGAAAACACGTAATGCCATATTTCTCGTCTTTGATTAATTGCATTTGACAAAGCAAAAGAACGAGCTATTGTAAGTATGAAACCTTATAAATTGTATGTTATGAAGAGAGAGTCGAACTTTTTTTTTTTTATTAATATTCATGATTTATTTTTCTTTCTCATAAAGTGAAGAGAGCTATCATTATTTGTTTTTTTTTCTTTTGAGATTGCTTATATCTTGTTGTCTTTTTAAACATCATGAATAGGTTTCTATTTATCATTTTGTCTCCTATAAGAATTGTCTACGAGTTACTTGAATATAAAATATATTTTGAATAATCACTTGAAAATATACAATTGTAAGTTTTATAAAATAGTAGAAAGCTGCAGGCTTGTTCAAACTCGGTATGCATTCAACTTTAAGTCTGAATAGAAAGGATCTGATGTCAGTCGATTATATTTGCTTTCTTCTCTTTTTCAAATTTTCTTGTTTCTATTTTTAATTCTATAATTGAAAAAAAAACATCATTTCAAATGCGCAGGACAAAAAAAATGAAGCTACGACAAACATAAAAAATCTTATAAATCAACGCAATTAATTTATTTGTTTGATAGTTTCTTTTTCGAATAACATGGAGTTCTATTCAACAAAACGAATAGATTTAATCTATTGTCATAGGAGACTCAACAATAAGAAATAAATCTGCAGTAACTTTTATGAAAGACGATCTAAAAGAAGTGTTGGAGTATATAGAGTACCTTCTCCCCCACGCACAAACTATGACAGATGAGATCAACAAACTGTTAACAGATATGACAGTCGTTATTGATATACGATGAAAGATCGCATCTGAATAACGTCGCGTAATAATATATGAACTACTTCCTTATTGCATGTCTGAAGGATTTAATACAAGAATGATGAAGAAGTGTGTCCCAAAATAGATAAAATAAAATAATCTCTTTCTAATTAACAATTGCAGTTGCATAGTGTCTCACATTATTAATTTCATAGGGATAACATTAGTGGTTTTATTTCTCAAAGTAATTGATAAATAGCTGTCATCTATAGAGAGAATGTTCGATATTGAGATTAGGAAAAAAACTTGAGATTCGAATCCAGATTGAATCTCAATCTGAATTAATTAGACTCGAACCCATACAAATATACACTTTTCTTTGTATATGTGACTGATTCGTTGTTTTCCTTTTTTTAATCCTATATTTAACAATTTCTTTTTTGACATTCGTTAAAAAGTTTTGCTAAAACGATAAACCATCATAATCAATTGCATTATCATTTTTTGAATTGTTTTACTTTTAAATATACAACCACTCAAGAATACAGATAAATCAGACATATTTAGATCAATCTGACGATTTTGCCTAGCATCAAGTAAGACAACTTATATTGTACGTACGAAAAAAAAAAGCTTTTAAATAAACTACTACCAACTAAAAAATCAATGCATTTGATTGAATCGAAGTGAAAGTGTCTAGTGTAATTTATTTTTTTATTTCGAATATTCAGTAACTATGGTTTTTCTTTTCATTTAACTCAAAATTGTTGAATATTAATCTAAAATAAACTCATGTCTTATTTCTTCTGTTCATTTCTCATTTTAATCCTATGTATAAATTTGACTATGACTATTCAATGTGATTGTTTTTGTCGAAATAAACCAATTAATAAATTCTATCCGTAAGTTCATAATTATTTTGGCATTTAATAATAAAATTTCATATCAAAAGCAAATTTAGACAATCATGTGCTCAATGTACATTAGATTTATGTACAAAGAATAATACAAAAGGTTTTGCTGGTTGGTGTTTATTTGGTAAACGAGCTATTCATTGTAGTGAATATAATTCTATTCCACCAATTTCTATTTTTTGACGATTTAATAGTTGACTTCTTCGAAAAATAGTCTTTTGTTTTTTTGAAAAAAAACTTCGATGATGTTAAACAATAACTATTAAAAATATTTATGAGCAGCTGTTATATCGAATAATTTCGTTAGAATATGATCTTAATTTAATACCAATAAGTAAAACAAATGATTGATAAAAGGTTGAATATATATTACGAGAGAACTTACTCAGATGTCAAATCACTTTCTGACTGAAACAATGCTTATTTTATGAATAATAGAAAATGTTCTCAATGAGATTAGTTGATTGTGCAACTAGAATTTCCTTTCTGAGGATGAAAATATGTAAACCAAACTTACTTTTACACATCACGAGTATTGAATATCTTAGAATAGGAATTACTAGAAAAATCATAACTTACTCAATGAACTCCTAGAAGTAATATGAATAACAAACGTATGAAATAATGAATTTTTCAAAATAAGCAAAAAAGGCATTAACTACTATTAATGCTCTTAGATAACACTATGCATTTAAATGCTACATTAGAAATTTTTAATGTATTTATATTGTCTGATAGCGATAGAGACATTTGTTCAAAGGAATTATCAGTAAAAAACTGAACTGATACAAAATAAATGCGGAAACTTCGGATTTAAATCCGAGAGTTATGTGTACTTCAAAAAGTGAATCATACGAATCAGTCATCCTAGAATGTCTGAACATCAAAATTATAGTGGGAAAACTAGCATTGCAAATGTTGATTTTCATTACGCGTTGCCAAACCAATTGGACTTCGGATCGAACAGCTCAAGTTTGAACTCTTTCCCTTGATCTACCCTAAAACAGTCATTTTTCCTATAACTTCATTTCTATTGGCCACTGCACAACCAATAGTATTACGTTGGAAGTGCAGTACACATTCGAGTTCTCCATCTCTGAAGACCTCGAAACATCATCACTGTGATCGGGAGATAGAGCGCTATTTTTTGGATCAATTAGATCGTGAACCAAAATATAGCCCAGTTCTCTTTAATTGTTCTTGTGATAGGTGAGTCAACCTTCTTATTTCTTTATGTTTTATATATCATTTTGTAGCTCTTGAAATTCTCTTTCGAATGGTATATAATAGTTGGGATTTTAATTGACTATGATAGGAAAAGTTTTTTACGAAAGCCGCGATGGGTCTATTTTTCCACAGAAAGCTATAGGTAAAAATGGGTATTTTTGCAATAACTCAGGAACGGCTCGGTCGATCCTTTTCACCTTCAAACTCGACCGAGATATCGTCAAGACTAAGCTTTGTAGAAAGTTTCATCGCAATCTGACTCTGTTGTCAAAAGTTATCATGTGAACAGCCAACCGGAGGAACGGACACACTGACTATTCTATAGTGTACTCACTTTTCTAGTACACAAAACCATGATTCGGTTCAAAACTAATATCAGATTCAGAATCAGCATTAAAAACTGAGTCGATTTATGTATTTTGTGAATAATTATGGGCAAAAAAATTTTTTTTGAAAAATCCCCGTACCCCCCCCTCAGGGATGGTCTGGTCAAAAATCACAATTTTTTCGATAACTCAGTCATTTCTTGACGGATCCTTCTCATCTTCGAACTCGACCGAGATATTGTAAAGACTGAACTGTGTAAAAAATTTCATCGCGATCTGACTCTCCTTTCGAAAGTTATCATGTATACGGACGGACGGACGGACACACAGACCGATTTTAGTAGTGTACTCACTTTTTGAGTACACAAAAAAGAATATTGACTTTCATTTTCTGAGAGTATCTAGATTTTTTCAAATGAGTAGATTTACTTTTAAATAACGATGTATCAGTGTATGAATATACAAACCAAAAAAAAATACTCTTTTAACCGAATGAGAAATTCTAAACAGTATAAATCCTTGTTCACAATGTCTAGATAATCGATTTTTGATGAGAAAATTTTTTTTAAAATCTAATCTTACTGAAAATTTCATCAAAGATATGATTCGTGCCATAGAGATAAAGTCAACATTTTTACACATGTCGATGCTAAAAGAATTTATTCAGAAAACTAAATCTTGTAAAGAATCAAAATCAAATGAAAGATGAATATGACCTGTTTTGTCTGAAATATGGTTCAAATTACCGACAGTAAAAAAAGTAAACAATACACTTTATAAGTGTTAATTGTAATTTAATATAAGCAAGTTCAATCGAAATAAACAAACACAAAATGAAAATAAAATTATTATTTTAGTATAAAGTACGTTTAAATTTTATTGGTCTATATCTTCTGCTTTTCTCAATAATCAGTACTGTTTTTGTCCTTCGTTGTACGAATTATTCTTTTTTTTTCTTTTGTTAAGTATTCTACAGAGGATTTTTTTCTCTTATGTCAATACATGTATAGTAGTCAATCTACTGTAATCGACGGGAGTCAACTGCTTTAGATATTATTAACATTTACTCTGTTAAATTAATATGAGTATTACATTTCATATTGATATGAAACTTTAGATTTAAAAAAAAAATTTTTTTGATACTATTTGAAGTTGAAGTATTCTTTCCGATTTATATTTGACCAGTTTAATTTTTAAACATATTTTTCAATTTAATGAACTGTTAATAAATTTTATTTTCTGATTTTAAAATTTATTATCAAACTTAATTAGTTTATAATTTATCATTTACGTAACTTGTTGATCGTTTATTGAAAAAAAACAATGTGATCAATCATTATTTCACTTATTGACCATTTAAATGATAACTATTAAAAAAATATTAACTTATTAGCCTTTATTAAAACAGTAGCACAAAACAAACAACACACAATTCGATTAAAAACTAAGCAAAATAAAAAGTTGTCACGCATAATAATCATCAATAATTAGTCATTATATATTCTAATTAATGTAATATATTAGATTAACGATATATTAGATAAAGTACGATTATTTCTACTATAAGTAGAACACCGAACAATGATATACCTAAACCCATACCTAATTGTCCTGGAATACCTGGTGAAGGTCCACCTAGAAAATATAAAATTGAAGATTTATTGATTTAAATAGAATTGAATTTCTTCTCTCTATTACTCTTCATTAAGACTATTGCAGATGGATTTTTTGTTGATAATCAGTATAAAATACATTAGAGAAAAACAGACTATATTTTTTTGATGTCGAGTAAGAGGAAATCTTTGTATTGCCTTTCCTTTTTCTATATGTCATTTTACCTAAATAAATCCTCAAAACAATAATTTAAGCTATATGTGTTCATACGTACAAAACTAAATGAGAAATAATAACACGATTTTTTCTTATTGAAGATTATAACAAAAACAAAATATAGTCTCTTTTCTTTCGGATGTATTTTTTGTTGTCTGAATTATACTAATTATTAAAAAAAAAGCCTTCAATAGTTTTAACGAAGAATAAAAGATAGAAAAAATTCAATCGACCCGCACTGTATATTCAAAGTTATATATTTTCAAGTTTTACCCTTTGGCAGATTTATTGTTGGATCTAAAATTATGTACCATAAATTATTGATAATTAAAGAATATATGAATAAACATACTAGTGACTCTCTCCGGTTTAGATGTAAAATTTACGGACACTAAAGTACCATTTTCACTTGGTAGTGACAAACTGACCGTTGGTGTTAACGTTGCCTTGTCTATACAAGCTAGATTGCAATTAATACGACTACTTCGAAACCAAATATCAACAAGCATATTGTAATCCCGTTTAACAATTCTATTAAATAATAAAAAAAAGAAGATATTTAAAAAGAAAACGTTGCATTATACTTCGCCTTTGGTGTAATTTCAATTTTTGTTACTGTGATTTTGAAATCATTTAAGTTAAATGAAGCATTAACCTGTATTAACAATAAAAATGAAATTATCGAGTATTCATCTGACATACCATTCGTTCCACACTAGCTGTAGTATTGAAATCGTTAATAATTCCTATTTTTATTGCATATTCACTTTGAAAAGTATAAACATAAGTTTCACTAATGTTTGTCCCTATAAGATAAGAGTATTTTAATTAATTCATATAAGAACAAGACTATTTGATTATTACCTATGGCAGTAGTAGTAGGTACTGTCGAAGTAGTGCCAGTCGATATATTTGATGTATATAGTGCTGTTGAACTTATGCTTGATAAATCACTAGTTGCTGATGAATAAGTGATACTTGGATTCGATGTGAAAGAACTAATGACTCTCTCGGGTTTAGATGTAAAATTTACGGACACTAAAGTATCATTTTCACTTGATAGTGAAACATCGATCGTTGGTATTAACGTTGCCTTGTCTATACAAGCTAGATTGCAATTAATACGACTACTTCGAAACCAAATATCAACAAGCATATTGTATTGTTGTTTAGTACTTCTATTAAATAATAAAAAATAGATATTTAAAAAGAAAACGTTGCATTATACTTCGCCTTTAGTGTAATTTCAATTTTTGTTACTGTGATTTTGAAATCAGTTAAGTTAAATGAAGCATTAACCTGTATTAACAAAAAAAAATGAAATTATCGAGTATTCATTTGACATACCATTCGTTGCACACTAGCTGTCGTATTGGAATTGTTAATAATTCCTATTTTTATTGCATATTCACTTTCGAAAGTATAAATATAAGTTTCATTAATGTTTGTTCCTATAATGCAAAAGTATTTTAATTAATTGATATAAAGATAAGACTATTTCATTATTACCTATGACCGTAGTAGGTACTGTCGAAATAATGCTAGTAGGAATATTTGATGTATGTGATGTTATTGAACTTATGCTTGATAAATCACTAATTGCTGGGGAATAAGTTGTACTTGAATTCGATGCGAATGAATTGACAATATTTGAATCTGTCGTTAGTACAGAAACTATAGTAGAACTTCCAGATTGATTATTGACTGATGATCCTAAATTCGTTGTAGAATGAGATGATGCCGATGCCGTAGTTAAATCACTAGCAGTTAATGCTAATGTTTTCATATCATTACTATTTGATTTGGATGTTGATACTTCGTAAGTAGTTAATTTTAATGCTGTTGTACTGTCAATTATTACTTCAACCTGTGCAGTACTATCAGTAGCTGCTGAAGACGAATCTTCATTATGTGCAAAGCACACGAAGAGCAAAAGAATAAGACTTAATAAGTAATATTTATTCGTCATCGATCATCTCAAAAATATGAAATAATTCTTATCAAAGTGTTTATATGAAAGTTGAGGTTTTTACTTATATCAGAATAATACTTATCGTCGTATGTCTTGCAGATTTGTTCTCCTATGTGTGATTAATTCTCAGAACAAGTGGGCAAATTTTATTTTTATCCTGATATAGATTTTTAATTTCGTGGTATGTTTTTTTTTGTTTTTCTTTCTCTTCTGTTAATATTAATATGATTCAGTTCCGAGAAACATAAAAATAAAAAAATAGTATCCTTTTTCTTTTTTAATACAACATAAATTACTCATTCAACTTGAGACATTGATTAATTTAGCAGAAAAAATGTCAAAATAATAAAAATTCATTGGAAATCAACGCTTATCCGACTATGATTAATGAAAGTAAATAAAAAAAACTACATATTAATATATTTAGATCGTAAATTCAAATGACAAGTTTTGGACGTAGTCATAAGTCTGCATCCGATATAATTTTCTTCCTTTTTCTTTTACATTGACAATATCATCAAGGTTGTCTTATATTGACACGTGAAATATCATTTATTCCAATAACCTAAAATTTTTGTTTCTTTGACGATAAAAAGATTTACATAACCGGATAAGCAAAATTTCGTCAAATGCAAGACAAATCATAAACAGACATGCGAATCATAAAACACTATTTTGTGCAGTACTTATAGGCACTCTAGTAAGCAAATGTCAGCTTCTACAAAACAATAATCATAAAAATGACAAAAACTGAATGCGGGATGTATAATTAACTGTTATATGAATGGTATCGATTTCAATTAACTGATTCATAGCCAACGATGAATTATAATAAAACACTATGTAGTATGAAACAGGCGTTACGTTCTTTTACTTCTGATATGAAGCACGGTTTATGAGAGTCTCCTCTAATAAAAAAGTCAACTTCAATCAAATTCATTGATTTTGTGATTTATAACTTGTTAAATAGAGCAATATGTCACTCTTGCATGCAATATAATTTGTTGATTTTATGATGAGATAAGAATATTACATCGGCTTTTTTTTTGAACGCTAAACTAGCAGAAAATAACATTTTTTTTTCTAAAACTTTTAATTTCTAAAGTTTTTAAGCTTCTTTGCTAACTTTTGGCAGTGATAGAGATGCTGTCACGTATCGCAAAGTATGACAAGTGTATACAACATTCGAGTATGAAAAATCACAAAATGAAATGAAGATATTGGTGTGAAATACATCTGTGAGACATGGTGCGGGTGTTGGTGAATTGAAGACTTCAACCCATAATCATCACATCTAAACCCTATATCCAATAAGATGATCGTCAGCCACCAAAAAATGTTACAATCAGTTCTTCAGGACATGAAGATTATAGTTTTTAGAAACAATCGAATGATGATTTTTTAGGTGTGACAGTGAGATTACCCATTTAATCTTTCAAAAGTAAATGAACTACCTCGTTATTTAACTGGCGAGGCAGAAATGATGGGGTACTCTTACGTTTCATCTTATCATCACTTAATATGTTATATTACAAAAAGAAAATATATCAAAAGTTGCAGCGTGAAAAGCTTTTCAATTTACATAGGACAGCTTATTTTACAGTTGCAATTTTTATACTCAGAATGGACAAAATTCTGAGCGATCAAATTTCGAAGTTGCGAAATCGATATTTTTGCTTTTGACACAAAACGAATTCTTTTTTTCTTATTGCATGTTTTTATTACCTGATATGTTTTATTTAAAAAAGAAATACACTATAGGATGCAGCATAAAAAACTCTACAATTTACATAGGATAGCTTAGTTCACAGTTGCACTTTTTGTTTTTCAAATGAACAAAATGCTGTGCAACCACTTATTGCAGCGTCGGCATTCATTTTGAAAACAAAAAGTGTAACTATAAAATAATCTGCCCTTTGCAAATTGTAGAGCTTTTCACACTGCATCTTGTGGTATATTTTATTTTTTTAATACCACATATTAAGTAATGATATAAATGAAATGCAAAATCATCTATGGATATTGGCCTAACAACTTTAAGCAACAATCCACTAGATTTTTGACGAAGTCAAAATCTCTTACAGTTCTATTTCAATTAGTCTGTCAGATACATTCTATACTAAATTCTGTGGTTGTAATTGAAAAATCATTTAGTAGTGTTTGTCTTACAATCAATAATCGTCGAACTTTTAATTCTTTCTGTGGAAAAAAATGACACTTGCTCAAGATTCTTGATGAGAACATTGTTTTTGTTCATGTTTATTGGTTTAAAATTATTATGTACTAATAGTGATTTCTTCATTTATTATTTTTGTTTTTTTTTGTTGTGAAAGTAGAGAAAAAAATTGCGAATTCGATGAGAAAAAAAAATATCGGATACAAGTTACATAATGTTTATACCATATATAATATTTGATGATATTAGTCAAACTGATAGTCGTGCTCATAAATTTTACGTTTTTTTAAGATGTTAATTGACGCGTATCATGGCAGATTGAAAAGCATGCGTAATTATGTATAATTCATTCATTTACAGAAACACCGAAATTTCTTTCTAGCTGTTTCATTGTATAGCACAGAAAATTTCTAAATGTCATCTGGTCACATAAAGTACTGCAAATTTTTCAGATCAATGCCACTGATTGCGGTGGTTCGAGTTAATTCGTTCCATCGCATATCAAGTGCAGTCAGAAAATAACACATTCTGTTTCATTCTGACGGTTGTAGGCAACACAGCTTTTTTGGATTGTGAAAGCAACTATTGCAGCCATCACTAACATCTTTTCTCTACTGTCTTATTCGTATTCACTACATAAATGCGACCGTATATTTCACCTCTCCACTTAAAAGACATCTGGCTTGAACTTTGTTCTAGTGCTCAATCCGATCGATTCGCCTTCAAATAGACTATAAACCAGTCACCATTTCGACTGCTTAAACTTTGAGTCTGATATCTGATTCCTCTTGAAAAATTACTTACGAATTATGCAAATAATTGTCTACACGTGCAAGTTTTGACAAAAAAAACGAGCTTATCATCCGAACCTCCTTCGAAAAAGAGTAACCAAGTGTAAACTTATTCTCATCGGCACTCGTTTTCATAAACTTTAATTTGCAACTTCTCACTGTTCTTGGTCGGACGTTAAAAACATAAAAGTAACCACATCTTTTTTCTTCGGCACAATATTAAATAAAGTGCTCTTTCTTCTCAATTTTGGTAGCCTTCATTCACATTTAACTCGTTCACACCTGCGTATCGAACTATCAATCACCACTTTCAACTATTTTTAATGCCCGAGGTTAAAGAACCACCCATTGAAAGTTCTAGCTTTCGAGAACATCCTCACCCTTGAATGAATGAAAGTAAAACGTTTCCATTCTTTGGATAGTCATGAACAAAGGTGGCTCTGTTCTTGATTTACACATCTTTCATTCACATCAGTCTTTTCAAAGTTGGTTTCCACAGTCGGATGTGGGTGTAACACTTATAGACACTCATATCCACACCCACTCTTTTCGACTAAGTTTCAAGAAGTCAGTCTGCAGGTCATAATACTTAGTTGAAATTAGCTAAAGTATACATCAGGAGAAAGAGCTCACTTTGTTAGAATGTCTTCTATCTTTGTTACTGCATTAGTTACATTCTTGGCAATATTGAAATTAGTATGAGTTTATTCAAGAAAAAAGGACAATGAAACATTATACATGTATCTTGTTCTTTTTATTTCCTTGTGTGTTAGGTATCGGTTTGGGAACATTGCTCGACTGTGTTGCTTCCTTGAACCATGTTTTAGCTCTTTGTTCCTGCTCGTCTACACTTTGTATTTTCGAGCCATTCTGTTGCTGCTTTTCAAGAGTTCTCAGGATGACGTATGTATGTTTCAATAAAATATTTTCATCGACCTGTAACATTGCTAGATCACCATCACTTACGCGATCAATCCACAAATCCAAGGGGGAAACATCGTACTTTTGTACTCTAAAGTACAACAAAGTACAAAAGTACTTTAAAGTACCGTAAAGTACTTCGAAGTACTTTAAAGTACCTTAAAGTACTTTGAAGTACTTCAAAGTACATCAAAGTACTTCGAAGTA